AGAAGAGGATGTACCATCAATCAACAAATATATGAAAAAATGTTTATTATCGCTAGCAATTAGAGAAATGCAAATTAAAACTACTTTAAGATTTCATCTCACTCCAGTCAGAATGGCAGCTGTTATGAAGACAAACAACAATAAGTGTTGTCGAGGATGTAGGGAAAAAGATACAATCATACACTCCTGGTGGGGCTGCAAATTGGTGCAGCCAATATGGAAAGCAGTATGGAGATTTCCTGGAAAATTGGAAATAGAACTACCATTTGACCCAGCTATCCCTCTCCTTGGTCTATACCCTAAGGACTTAAAAACAGCACACTACAGGGACACAGCCACATCAATGTTTATAGCAGCACGATTCACAATAGCTAAACTTAATCTCATCTTTTGCCATATGAGTTAATCTCAGGTTCTGGGAATTAGGAAGTGGAGTTATTTGGGAAGCATTATCAGCCTACAACTTCTAACCATTAAGAGGAGGAAAGAGAATACAGAAAACTCTGTCACTCTCATAGAAATTAGGAGAAAAGAGGGGAAATATATGTTTAGAAAAGATCAACACAAAAAAAATTGATGACAGAAGTAAATCTTAATGGATCAAGTAAAAAGCAATAATGGTAAATGATTTAAACAAAGACTGTCAGATTGAACACAAAGGCAAATTCTAGCCAGATGTTGCTTCACAAAAGTCACAATGAAGTATAAGAGGGCAAAAGATTAGAGATTGGGAGAAAAACTGTCCATGTAAATGCTACAAGAAAAAAAAAAAAGGTGGTGTGGCCATATTAATCCTCAGACATAATATAAGACACAAAGTGGCCCTGGGATAAAGGTGGCAACATCTAGATGATAAAACAACGAGGAAATCTACAAGCATAAATTAAAGCATATGACCTGGTTTTGCAAAGAAAAAGGTGTTACCTGAAGCTGCAGGGTTCCACCAGCTGGGCTTTAGGGAGAACAGTTTCAAACTGTTCCTCCCCAGGAATGGACCAGCCTAGGGACAGCATGGGGAGGGCTGGTAGGATATGATCTGCTTAGTGAAACTAAAAACTCTCTAAATCATCTTTCACGGAGACTGTATTTAGAGGGGAAAAAGTCCCTGAGCACATTGAGATTATCATTTGAAGGATAATCATTGTGTTAGGATGAGATAAGGTTTAAACAGCAGAGTGATTTATAGAAATGGTGACAAACTACAGTGTTGCACAGGTAAGGAGGGAAGAGACAAGGAAGGCTGACCCTCAGGGCCTAGGAGGGGCAACAACCAGAACCAAGCTGGTCTTGGTGTCCTGGGCCTGGCAGGTCCCTGTCCTTTTCCCAAGGGCCTAACTGGAGGACATGGATGGACATGCTGGCTTCCTAGGCCTGGGAAGTATGAGCCATGTATGGAGCCAGGTCTCACCAAGGAGCAGCCATAGGCCAGGTCTTTCCTTGCCAGGGATGTTTCTTGATGCCAGCATCCTCTGTCCCTCAGTCCTGAGCCAGCCTTGAGCAGGTGAATCCCAGATTCACCCTCCAGTAATGTCCCTTGTGGTCAGAGGCTATTTGAGCCAATCTCCTTTTGAAGACCGGAGCCTCTCTCCAGCTTCAGTACCCTCCCTCCCTCTAAGACACATACCTCAATTTTGAACTCAGTTCCACAAATATCATCATGTACCAGAACTATTTTGGTATTTTAAGAATCTGCATTGATTTTGGCAGGAGCCATTTTCAGGATGCCTAGGAAGAACCATTCTATCTGAGATCTATGCTGAGTCTAGGGGTTTCCATGGTAGGGCATAGTGGAGATGTGAAAGCTGTCTTCTCACTGGGTTCAAAGTGCCAGGTGCAGGACTTGACACACAACTAACGTCAGAAAAGTATTAGCTGGTTGCAGAGTAACTGGAGAGCAGACAACTAACCTTCAGAGAGAGCTGGTTTGTCCTTCTGCCTGACCATGAACCAGGAGTTCATGTCTGTTCTGTAATTGAAAAGCCCAGAGCTCAGGACTACATGCCAAGAGGTCCCTGGCCAAGTAACCCAGACCTGTCTAGCAGGTGCATCTCCTAGAAGTAGGAGTCTCAGGGCCATAGAAAGAAGACTGAGCCCCTGAGATCCCAGCCTTCAAACTTTATTGCTTCTGCAGTTCTCTTTGTGACTTGCACCTGCAGGATTACAAGAGAGTGAGCCCATACTGTCCCGGGGGAGCCCAAGTCCTGCATCTGTGCCTGATATCAAAGCCTGGTCACTGGAACCCATGGAAACTACTTCTGCTGAAGCTCTCCAGACTCCAACCAAGACTATCATGCCTGTCCCATGATAACTGGCCCAAGAGCTGGCCACCCAGGGATGTGTGTATCTGCCTGGCATTTTTAGCCCTCAACACCATTCTTGTCAGCTTGTATCAGGCAACTTCCAAGGCTTCCCAGCTCCATTATCCTTGGTTATGGCTTCAGAAGGTCATCCAGAACCCTCCTAGCCCCAATCCACAAAGGTATGTCCACCTCTAGGTTCCTGTGCCCTCTATCCCTCCTGCTGACCACACCCTGACTGCTCCAACCTCACAACCAAAAATGTATTTCTACCTAAAGCCATCATGGTGCACCACTTAGGCTTAACTGTGTTCTGGTGACCTGCCAGAGCTCCACTGGCACTCAAACTCTCCCTAAGCGAGACTTCCTATAGAGGAGTGGAGGTCCTTGGGTACAAAGTCCTTAGTTTCAAATTGTCCATTGCCCTGTGCTGACCTTGTGCTGGGTGAGTCCACCTGGGGACCTGGCCTCCTGCTTCCATTGCTCCAGGGTAGAGACAGGTGCTCCATGGAATTTATCCCAGAAACCCTGGCCTGTTCCTCCTTCAGATTGGCTGCAGATCCTTTCCTGAGAGTGCTTGCCTGGGCCCTGCTGCCTCACAGCCTTACGAGGGATCTCCCTAGGGATCCTCCAGTGGGACTGCTCAGTGCCCACCTCACTCCTTGTATAATCCAGAGGAGCCTGTGTTGAGGCTGCTTCTTCCAAAATGGACTTTCCCCAGTGACCAGCTAGATTGCAGCTCCAGGTTTGGCAGGTACTGAGTTGATGGAGACAGCAGGGCCTTGGTTCTTGGTTCCAGAGCCAGCTGGCTAGTACCCCTGAGCCACCAAATCCCTATCCTGCTGGTGCTCCCAACCAGAGGTCCCTTGTGTGTGGATACAAGTGGTTCAGCCTCTGCAGCCATCCATTCCCACTCAAGCCACCCAGAAAAGATATTGATGAGGAAGGCCAGGCTACAGGAACATGCCCTTTGCATCCCACAAGGCCTGCCTGATTTCCTTTTAGAAAGAGCTAAGCAAAGAGAGAGGCAGTTAAAGGGATGGGCTTCCCAGCAGAGATTTCAAATCAGCCCCTGGTGTGGGATTTGTGTCATTGATTTTATTGATAAATAGAGAACATATCTTGATAGAAAACAAGGGATGCCGTCATACACACATGAAGATTCAGCAGAGCCTCTTCCTGGAGGACGCGCAGCTGAGCGGCCTTGAGACTCACCACACCTGCCTGGGTGAGGGTTGTGGGAGAGGGAAGGAGCAGTCCTCATGGCCTCCCTTGCTCCCTGTGAAGCTCCATGCCTGCTGCTCTGGGCTCTGGGCCTCCAGGAGTTCCTTTCTTCCTGACACAGGCAGCACCTGGCAAACCCAAGAGGGAGACGGAAGGAGCAGTATGGGCCTTCAGTGGGGAGAATGGAAAAATACACTGAGGAAGTGTGTCACAGATCTGCAGGACAGACACCGCAGAGGGGAGGACCGTGACCTTAGGTCAGTTCCCCAAGGGGTTAGAGGAACTGGGCAGCTGTCCTGACGTTGGAGACAGAGGCCTCAGCAGAGGAGTGTGACCAGGAGGTCCCCCACCAGCACTAGATAAATCGGTGGGATGCCCAGGCACTGGAGCCCCTGTTTCTGTCCTGGAGCCAGGCTTTGGGCACAGAGCAGCTCGTGAATGGTGGACATGGAAGGGCTAGTGAAATCTCTACAGAGAAGCTGTCCCCAGCAGCACTGAGACAGGCACAGGATGCCCAGCTGGGGAGGCTGCACAGGTGTCCACAAACAAAGGCCCTCTGGTTGGGAGCACCAGTAGGTGGCTCAGGGGTGCTGGCTGGCTGGCTGGCTTTGGGCCCAGGCCCTCCCTGAGGCAGTCTCTTGAAGCAGGTCAGGACAGAAGTGGGTTCCCCAGGCTTCTTCTGGGCGCACGTATCCCTTTGAGATATTTACATGATTGATATTAGTGTCCTGTACCACCTGTATACTGCCTATACCTACACCCACTGCTGCACCCAGAAGGGCTCACTGAGGCTGCATAGCTGTGGAGTGTCACGGCTGAGGAGGGCTCAGAACCCAGAGAATGAAGGAGAGAGCAGAGTGAGGCAGGGTCTGGGCACAGGGCAGGTTGGGAGAAATGGGGCCTGGGTCTGGATGTCCCTCACAGGTGTTTTTTTGAGGAGACAAGAAAGTAAATCCCATAAACCTTAGCTTCCTTCATGAGGCAAAACTCAGTGATTGGAGGAGTTAACACACCATCTAACTCCAGGATGTTGACACCATCTAACGCCTGGGGACAGGGTGCTGGCTGTTGATACTTTGAGATGGTTTTCTTGCTGAGAGGGGTGGCCTTTCAGACCGGCACTCAATCTTTATCCAGAAGTGCTGACATCACCTCCAACAGGCTCCTGCATGGTGGGGGCACACCCCAGGTCAGCCTCTCCTGGCCAGATTGTCACCTTGAGTACAGTGAGGTGGCAGCACTCTCAGCCAGCTGCTGAGGGCAGAATCCCACACAGCACCCTCCCGGCTCCAACAGGGTCAGAGCCCTGAGTAACAACGACTCCAGGAGCTGTGGTCGCATGGAATCTTTTCTCAAGCTTCCCAGCCCACATTCTGGTCACTCTGGGCTTCAGCTTTTAGCAGTCAGTGTGTGATAAGAAACCCATGGAATTAATTCCCATTGGTATATCATGACAAAATGAGGCCAGATGGTGACTTGGGCTCCACTGAGAGGTGCCTCTGGGCCCCAGAGGGGCAGAACATTGGGACCCACCTCCGGCCTGGATAGGATGATGTCAGAACAGTTCACCTGTATTGTGTCATCATCTCTCCTTCAGAGTTATGACAACATGGGTTTCCAGGGGAATCTGAGCTGTGGTGAGGTTGGGATTCTGACTTTGATCTTTCAGCTCTACTATCCTTCCTACCCATTTTGTGATTAGTTTACATCTGTCAGAAGCCTCCAGGCCAGTGCTAAGCCCCAGGATCTTAGGGTATGTATAGAGGAGCCAGATATTCTGCAGAATGTTTGAGCTTGGAAGGATCAATGAAACTTCCAATTAAACTTGGCAGATTGAACACTTTATTTATTTTCACTCTGTCAAAATCCTAACAAATAGTCATAATTAAATACAGAAGTCTGAGACCTACAAAACAAAATACAGTCATGTGCTGCATATGACATTCAGTTAACAAACAGCATATATGACAGTGATTGTATAAGATTATAATGGAATTGAAAATTCCTTCTCTTTTTAGTGACATTTTAGCCATCATACTGTCATTGTGCAACACATTGCTCATGTGTCTGTGGTGATACCAGTGAAAACAAATCTACCACACTGCCGCAGTGCAAAGGCATGACAGTAAACAACTGTTACTGGTTTGTGTGTTTACTACACTATGCTTTTTATTGTTATTTTAGACTGTATTCCTTTAACTTATAAAACTGTAAACAGTGTGATGTGCTATGCTGGCAGCAACCTTATACATCTCATGTTTATGGAGTCTCTTGATTGCATCTTTTTCCTGTGCTTGATTTAATCTCTTATTGTTTTGTTCATCATGATCCCAGGAGTAACATACATCTCCCACATAGCATAGGTGTATAGTATGCTATTCCATCTAAGTCTGTGTAAGTACACTCTATGATGTTTACACAATGACAAGAGTGCCTGATGATGCATTTCTTAAAATGTGTCCTATTCAGTGACACATGCCTGGATTTCCTGCTTCAGTCATAGAATCGACCATTCTCTAAGAAGCATTGCTTTCTTTTGTTGGAGAATGGCATTAGGAATCAAGATTCGGGTTCTGGATGTGCTCATCACTACTAAGTGTCATAACTCTGGACCCTCTCAGTTAGTTGACAGAGAAAGGAATTATATGTGTGTATATTAGAGAGAAAAAAAAAAAAAAAAAAAAAAAAACAGATAAATAATTGTTAACTTTTGTGTGTGTGATGGTTAATGTTATATGTGAACTTGAGTGGCTGTGGTGCTCAGTTGTTTGACCAAATGTCAGCCTAGATGTTCCACAAAGGTCATTTTTAGGTGTAATTAATATTTAAATTAATAGACTTTGAGCAAAGGATATTGCCCTCTATAATGTGGTGAGCCATACCCAGTCATCTGAAGGCTTCAAGAGCAAAAACCTTCTTTCCTAAAGAAGGAATTTCCTCAAGGCTATAACATAGAGACCCTGACTGAGTTTCCAGCCTGCAAATTTCAGACCCAAAACTGCACCATCAACTTCTTGAATTTCCAGGCTGCCAGTTTGTGCTACATATTTCCAACCCTTACAATGGTATAGTGTGAGCCAATTAAAATCTCTCTCACACTCCCTCTCTATTGGTTCTGTTTTTCTGTTTCTCTGGAGAACTTTCATACAACACATCTCTATCTATTCTCATGAAACTTGTCAAAAGCAAGATGGAGATACTTATGTCAATCCTAAAAGCAATTTTTAAAAGCCAAGAGGTGATTTAGGAAGGGTTCTTACTCATAATTGCCTGATAGAAGTAATCACAGAAGAATACCAGGACCACAAACCTTGCATGAAGTCCACTTCATACAAAAAGGACTTCAGCTAGGACACAACTCTATGTTCAAATTAGGACTGAGTTCACTCTTGTTATAAATCACTGAGTCCAGAGATTACTGTTTCAAATTATTGTGTCTAGTCTTCCTCATTTTTGCCTTTTAAAACTTCCCTTGCCTCAACTTCTTTGAATACGTCCATAGTTAAACATGGCACATGTATTCCTATAGCAATACTACTCCCAAAATCAAACTTCATTTACTTCAATTTTAATCTCTATTGTTTCTCTCAATCAACAGTCTTTATCTGTATCTATATGTCTATTAATATCCACACTAAGTTAAATAGTAGCTCATACTGAGGTAAGCAATTCTAATCCTAACGTATCAATCTATGTTTTTCCTTCCCTTGCTTATCTATAACCTCCCACTGCAACAGTGAGAGACCTGCTCCTACCATCTACCTTCCAATTACTCAGTTGTTCAGTTCCAGTATACAAGGGTGGCTGTTTTAGAATTGTTAATCCATCTGAGAGGAACTATTGTATCAACTAAAATGCAGTGCTTTTATACTGCTCCTTCATCTTTAGTCTTATAAAACACCACTCATTTCCAAAGAACACTGCTCCTCTCTTCAGAGATATCATTTGTGATACAATTAGATCCTTTCATCACCTTCTGGATTCCATCTTGGGATCTTCCAACCTGTTAGATTATTTTTAATAAGCACACATTGATGCTGTGAAGTTCTGTGGGTTAGACAAATGTTTAAAATCTTGTATTCATCTTTACAGTATCACCAGAATACTTCCACTACCTTAAAATAGTGCTTTTACTTATTCAACATTCCTCCCAACCCCAAAACACCAATTATTTACCATCTCTATAATTTTTTTCCAGAATGCATAATTGGAATTATATAATGTGCATTTTTTCCAGACTGTCAATAAGCATTCATTCAACAGCCACGCATGTCTTTTCATGCCTTTATGGTTCATTTCTTTTTATCACTAATAATATTTTATTGTATGGATGTTTGTTTATCCATTCTATTAAAGACATGTTAGTTACTTCCAGTTTTTGACAATTATAAAAGAAAACTGCCCTGAACACTCATGTGCTTATTTTATGTGAATATAAGTTTTCTATCATTCAGATAAATATCTATAAGTGTGATTGCTGGATTATATGGTAAGACTGTGTTTAGCCTTGTTAGGAGCTGCCACACAGTCTTCCAAAATGACTACCATTTCACACACATACCTGGCAATGAGTGAGATCTCCTGTTCTGCACATTCCCCCAGCAGTTGGTATTGCTATTTTTAGGGATTTTAGCTGTTATAATAAGCAGGTAGTGGTATTTCATTATTCTTTTAATTTCAAGTTTCCTAATGACATACTTTTATATGTTTATTTACTATTTGTATATCTTCTTTAGTGAGGTGTCTCTTCAGATCTTTTGCCAGATTTTAATTGGGTTTTAAGAGATTTTTGTAGACAAGTTATTTATCAGATATGTGTTTTGCAAATACTCTTTCTCAGTCAGTAATCTGTCATTTTATTTCCTTAAAAGTGTCTGCCAAAGCAAAATTTCAAATTTTTGGATGAATTCCAATTTATCAAATTTTTACAGACACATTTGCTAATACTTTTATCGAAGATTTTTGAATCAGTGTGTATATATATGTTTACACTAGTTATGACTTTCTAATGGATAAGGTATTTTGTTATTATCAAGTATCTTTTTTGTTGTTTCTGGTAACAAGTTTAATGTTTGTTGTTTCTAGTAACAAGTAACATGTTTAATCCACTTACACTTAATGTAATTCCTGACAAGGTTGGAATCCCATCTGCCCTGCCCAAGCAGGACTACCAGCATCAGCACCCATGCAGGACCTTGTCCAACCACCCACTCAGGACACCTGGCCGCTGGTCACATGCAGGACCTGCAGCCCTCTCCTGTTGGACCAACATCTACCAACGAGAGGGTCCCCCAGTTGCCCCCATCTTGGGACACTACAGCCACTGCCCGAGTCCCTACACTCAGTAGCCAGCACCTAGGGACACCTGAGAGGGTCTGGAGACAGTCACCAGCTACCACACTGAGGGTCACAGAGCTGTACCTCTGAACACGCCACCCAAGGCCATCATCCGCCTGGGCCCAACTGGACCCAACACCCCATCTCTGAAAGCAGCTGCCTCCATCTGGGTACACCTTTGTTGCCATCTTTAGTTGGGGCGACTCCCAGCCTGGGACACCGACTGGGGCTTAGAAGCAATATCAAGGTGCCTACAGTCCTCAACTCCCCCCTCTCGTCCCCAGCCACTGACCTGGCATAGTGCTTGAGGCTATGCAGCCAGACTCTAGCTCGCAAAGCCTGGCCCTGAACTGCTGAATACAAAACGGCTCTCCGTGGCAGGTGCACAGCCACCAGAGCTCAGCCCACAAGACCTCTGGAGAGAGCGGTTCCTGATTGGGAAGTAGAAAGGGAGGGGGTGAGTGAGACACAGTTTAGAGACTAAATTAGAGACCAGGAATTGTGAGATAAGACAGGTGCCCACATCACACAAGCAGGCCCCAAAGGAGTTGGGGTGCAGTCTCCTATTGGGACTGGCAACTGCTATACCCCACCTCCAGGAGCCCTACCCCCAAGACCAACCCTCCAAAATTCTAATAACCTTCATCATCCTGAGGGTGGAGATACCAGCAAACAACAGACAACCCACCTATTAGATGGGAAGGGAAGCAGAAAAGATACTGAACTCCACAAAAACAATCCTTGTATTTTCCTTCAAGATTTTTTCTTCTCTCTCTCTCTCTCTCTCTCTCTCTCTCTCTCTCTCTCTCTCTCTCTCTCTCTTTTTCTTTTCTCACTCTTTCTCTTCTCCTGCCCTCACATCCCCAAAATTTGTGAAACCAAGTACTTTTCATGAACTAGGTTACTGAGGACTGGGATGTCTGAATAGTATATTACAGTTGTGTTGTATATTCTTTTATCTCCTATTTTTACATTTCTAATTTTTCTTAATTTTTATGTTTGTTTGATGGGTGAAATAATTACACAGAATTCACAATAATTCTTAAGACACCTCTCTCACCACTGGATAGATCTTCCAAACAAAAGCTAAATAAAGAAACTATAGAACTCAGTAATACAATCAGTAACTTAGACTTAACAGACATATATAGAATATTTCATCCATCAATGAGTGAATATACTTTCTTCTCAGCAGCACATGGGTTCTTCTCTAAAATATACCTTATATTATGCCACAAACCAACTCTCAGCAAATACTAAAATGTAGAGATACTACCCTGCATTCTATCAGATCATAATGGAATAAAATTAGAAATCAATGATAAAATATAAAATAGAAGCTACTCCAACACCTGGAGACTAAATAATATACTATTGAATGAACAATGGATTGCAGAAGACATCAAAGAGGATATTAAAAACTCTTAGAGTTAAATGAGAACACTGATACAACATATCAAAATCTCTGGGGCACTATGAGGGCAGTACTGAGAGGAAAGTTCATTGCATGGAGTTCATAAAAGAAGAAAAAGTCAACAAATAAATGACCTAACATTACATCTCAAAGCCCTAGAAAAAGAAGAACAAATCTTTAGCAGAAGACACCAGTAGTAGAAGACAAGAAATAATTAAAATCTGCCTGAAATCAATAAAATTGAAACAAAAG